TCCCGAAGAACCTTGGTTGGAAGTGGAAACTTGCTTCCAACTGAAATGGGCAGGATTGTTGCTATTAGACTATTATGACTGTGCAGTTTTGTTTTTGTCTCTTGCTGAAGTTCATGTTTCATTTTTGAAAGATCAAGTACAACTGCATTCTGTGTATAAAGAATAAAAAAGCCTTTAAAAAGCACAACGAAAGCTAAATATGAACTGGGGTCCAAGTTTAAATTTGAAAATGTCCCGTGACACTTCTCTGAAGACTTATTTCTCCATTTGTTCTAGCTTTTCAGGTAATTCTAAAATGACACATCTACTTGAGTATCTGATTTTTTAGAAATTTTAAAATATATCAGAATAACAATCCTTGTTTTAAATACACAAGGAAACTTCCTCCTGTTCTTTTGCAGGGAAGAAAACACGTTATAAAAATTAGGATCGTTTGGGTTTAACCCCCTGGATCACTGCCACCGTCCAGCCTGAAGGCCCTCCGGGAGGCTATGCAGATGTGACAACATGACTTATCACCCTCATGAAAAACCGCTTAGGGTTTTTACTCCCTAAAATCATTCTGAAAGTAATCATTTGGAGGGAGCAAAAATCTATTAATTACAATCAACTTTTATGGAAGTATGTATTGGATTTACTAATTCTGCAAATCTTTCTTCACGAAGAGCCTATGCTGAAACTAATTTGGCAAAAGTTTGCACCATGGATTTACTGCTTTAGTTAGTAGTCCTGGCAAATTCAGAATTGTGGTGGGATGAAGGCATGAGTCTCTTTATTAAAGTTATAAATTTATAAAATAAAAACAAAAGCAAATGGGGATTTAGAATCGAATCAAATACAGGTTAAGGCTTCTCTTGTTCTTGTCATATGATGAGAAGGCAGGTATGTACCCTAAAATAAAATGTAAAAATCAAAACTCCTGCCAAAACCGGTTTGGCTCTGTGGATAGAGCGTCGGCCTGCGGACTGAAAGGTCCCAGGTTCGATTCCGGTCAAGGGCATGTACCTGGGTTGCATGCACATCCCCAGTAGGAGATGTGCAGGAGGCAGCTGATCGATGTTTCTCTCTCATCGATGTTTCTAACTCTCTATCTCTCTCCCTTCCTCTCTGTAAAAAATCAATAAAAAATATATTAAAAAAAAATCAAAACTCCATGATTTTTTAAGGGATACATTCATATCACACTACAAAGCATCTGGCTTTAGTTCCTGATCAATGTGATCAGCTGATCCAAATACAGTTTAGGCTTTGATGAAACAAAGGCTGCTACAAGGTGCAAGAACAAAACCACAAGCCTCCAACTCTCTGTGCAAGATGTTACTGACACCACTAAGGACAAAGGTGTGTAAAGCTCCCACTGGATTGCAAGACCCGCTAAATAAACAGACAATGTGCAAAGGGCACATTTTCCCAGGGTAATGAATGTAAAATGTGAGAATACCCAAACCTGATGAAAAGATGGTTATAGCAAAAATATATTTCACTTTGGACATGAAAACAATGAAGCAAATCAGTGAAGGAAATATCTGTGATCAGAGAACGTCTGTTTACAGGTCAAATCACAACAGTGTGACTTTCAAACCAGGATTTTGGTCTGGGCTACTTTCCATTTCAATGGACCCAGAAAGCTATGGAGCCAATTAGCCTCATTCTAACATACCTGGGGTTCATTTCTAAGGCTTATGTTTCAGATTAACATTATTTTGCCCAGGGGAATTTTTCAGACATGCTGTCTTTCCTAAAATGAAGAAACATTGCTCGCAGCGGTTCTCGACCTGTGGGTTGCGAACAATGAAAATACATCCTGCATATCAGATATTTACATTACGATTCATAACAGTAGCAAAATTACAGTTATGAAGTAGCAATGAAAATAATTTTATGGTTGGGGGTCACCACAACATGAGGAACTGTATTAAAGGGTTGCGGCATTAGGAAGGTTGAGAACCACTGGCTTAGATGGAAAAGATGGACTACTGCTATTTACACTTGGAACTGACTTATGATTTTAAACTGCAGGGGACAGGCAGAACACAGGGACAGAGACAGGGACGACACGGCTGGGAACAATGAGCACACACTGAAAAGGAAGTCACAAACACTGAACTCTACATTTGCGTGTGGACCAGCACACAGAGGTAAACCCATTTGGCTCCAAGCAGATCTGGGTAGTGCACGTCAATAGCTTTGGCTTTTTTTTTTTTTTTTGGTAGCCACAGAAGTTTATTAAGCTCTCATTTGCCTTTACACTAAAAAACAAATTTAAAAATTTAAATGTAAGATAGAGAACACATTATGTTTTATTTGTAAAAATGTGGAAAGTCTAGCTTGTCCACTAAACAATCATTAAAACTTAAATACCTAAGAGTGCCATGCCCAACGGGCTATTAAAAAATATATTTTCCTTTCTGTCTTAGGCTAGAATGGGAACAGAGAGATAATTCATTTCCATAATTCTAGTGCCTGTTTCCTTCACAGAAACGTCTACCAATTATATACCTTCATGAGCTAATGAGCTTTACTGCAGGCAGCTGGGAGACCATCCCGCTCAGTGGGCTGTGCCATGGGGAGGGTGCGGCAGGGCACTGCCCAGAGCCAA